GTCTCGCTCTTGCTCAGGCTGGTCTTGAACTCCTGAGCTCAAACGATCCACCTGCCTCGGCCTCCCAGAGTGCTAGGATTACAGGCGTGAGCCACCGCGCCCAGCCCATACTACTTCTCTTAATTATGACACACATGCACGCGCACACACATACACAGGAACTTTGTGACAAAGGGTAGATGAAATTATCTCATAGCTGTACTTTACCTTCCGAAAATCGCGCTTCTCAAAATCCATTTCTGCTATTTTCTCATATTCCATGACTGCATTGGCATTTTTGAACTACATCGGAAAATCAGATACGGGAAATTTTAATGAAGTTGTAGATTCAACAATCACAAAAATCAATAAGTCCTTGATAAATATGAATTTGAACCGAGTAAATGCATCTCTTCTCATGTATACCAGACTATCCCTTTTGACACAAACAGGACTCATACCTCCTGTTGTGCCTGAGCATTTTATGATCTAGTTCTACAGCTCTCTGGAAACTGAGACACGCTGCCATGGCATTCCCTAGAGAGAGGTAGCACCTGCCCTCTCGTAGATGTCCCTGGAAGACTTTTCTTTCAAGATAACCAGAACCACAGACATTTCACAAATCAAGCTGATGAAGATACAGTCAAGACTCCTTTAACAGAAAGGCTAAGACTCAAACTTCACCCTCAGTTTGAACTTCAGGCCAGGAACACAAGAGCCGTGCCTTGATATACATAAAATAAATGCAATGCATTACCAGGGATTGAGCATAAGTTTTGAGATTCTCACTAAAATGCATCCAGGTGTAAACTGTATATCTATATACAGTGCTGCATGATGACATCTGGTCAACAACAGACCACCTATATGGCATATATGGCAGTGGTTCCATGAGATTATAATCTTGTACTTTTATTGTACCTTTTTCTGTGTTGAGATACACGAATACTATTGTGTCACCATTGCCTCCAGTATTCAGTACAGTAACATGCTATACAGGTTTGTAGCACAGAAGCATTAGGCTATACCATATGCATAGCCTAGGTGTGTAGTAGACTATACCATCTAGGTTTGTGTAAGTACACCCTATGCTATGATGTTTGCACAATGACAAAATCATCTAACAGAATGTATTCCTGTCATTAAATGACGAATGACTGTATATGGAGATGGAACCAAAACATGCTTTCACTGCTACCAATTTAATCAGGATTTGAACTTATCCAAATTCTTTAACCTCACTCAAATCAGTCCCTTAAAGTATTTGCCTATTCCTCTGGCCATCTGAGAAACCCTCTAATTTTCACAGATTTTTTTAAAGCTGTAAATCATATTCAAAACTCATTTTACAGGTAAGGAAGCTAAGGCTTAGAGAGACCATGAGACTTGCCTAAAGTCACCCAGGTGTGACTGATGGCAGAAGTGGGACTAGATCTCAGTTCTGACTTTCAAGTCACTACTCTTTCCAAATATAACACACTGTCTCCTTTGATACAAACAGGATCAGACCCATACCTCTTGCTGTGCCTGAGTATTTTTATGATCCAATTCTAAGGCTCTCTGGAAACTGCGACAAGCTGCCATGGCATTCCCTAGAGAGAGGTGGCATTTGCCCTCTCGTAGATGTCCCTAGAAGAGGAAACACAAAGCAGCATGATTGGCCAAGCACAGAGAAATAAATAGCAGAACAAACACCCACACAAAACCAAGAGGCAATGAAAATGGCTGAGCCATAGTTCTTAACCAGGGCAATTTGCCCTCTGGGGGACATTTAGCAACGTTAGGAGAAATTTTTGACTGTTACAACTGGGGACAGGGGGTGCTACTGATACTTAGCGATTAAAGGCCAGAGATATTGCTAAACATTCTACAATGCACAGGATAGCTCCCCACAACAATGAATAATCTGGCCCACAATGTCAATGGTGTCAAGATTGAGAAACCCTGGGCTACAGTAGCTCCACTGTAGCAACTCGGCCTTCCCCAAACAGCCCCATTACATACCCGGACAAAACTGTCATCCAACCTCACTGACTGTTGTGCATCTCCAAGAGCTTCCCGGAACCTTCCAAGCATCATCAAAGTGGCTGCTCGATTACCATAATAGCTAGCATTCTTAGGACACATATCTACAGGAAAGGCAGAAGAATATAAAACAAACTTTAGCACAGGTCACTGCATCAAAAACTTATGGGGGGCCAGGCG